TATATATATATATATATATATATATATATATATATATATATATATATTAAGACCACAAATGAAAGATAAAATGTATTTATTTATTAACCTTTATTTAACCAGGCAAATCCCATTGAGATCACAAATCTCTTTTGCAAGGGGAGGCCTAAGCCTGAAGGCAGACTAACATCATGTATGTTTTTGGTCTGTGGGAGGAAACCGGAGTACCTGGAGAAAACCCATGCATGCATAAAGAGAACATGCAAACTCCACACAGAAAGACCACAGGTCCAACTGGGGATTGAACTGCTAACCACTGAACCGTCGTGCTGCTAAAAAAAGCAAAACCATAGCTAAAATTTCAAATAAGTAAAACTATAGCTAAAGGCTAAAATTAACGCAACACAGTGTTTCCCCTAGATAACTTGCCATGGCTGGGCGCTCGTCTCGTCCATGATTTTTGCTTGGAGGGGGGCGGGGGTGTTAGTGAAAGAGACAGAGGAAGAGACACATGTGAGCTGCGAGCTGTTTGTAGGGCAGTTTTCGGGGGTGGGGTGTTTCAACGTGAGGGAAGAGACAGCATGAGTTCTGCCATTAGCTTTTAAGCTAGCGCACCTGTATTGCGCACTGCTAACAGCATTATGCCAGTGCTTCTGGTTGGGGGGGGGGGGGGGGCACAGTTCGGTTTAGTAGCTGGGGCGCTTGGTTTTGTTAACGCGGCGGGGCGGGGTGCCCTGCTTGTATAATGGTAGGGGAAACACTGCAACAGTAAGTGAATGCTAAAATAACATAACTCTACCTAAATGCTAAATTTTGTAACACTATAGTTTAATAGCTAAAACGTAGATGAGTTAAAAGTTTAAAAACTGTAGCTGAAAACTAAAAGTATCAAAGCCATAACTAAAAGGCAGAATTAGCAAAACAGTAGCTAAAGGCAAAAAAGCTAAACTTGAACTACTGTAAAAACAAAAGCTACCAAAATAGTTGCTGAAGCTAAAAATGGCTAAACCATAGCTAATTGCTAAAAAATAGCATAACGGTAGCTAAAAACTATAGTAAAACTGTAGCTAAAAGCTATTAAAAAAATTCTAGCTAAAATTAGCAAAAGCTTTGGAACAGAAACAGCCTAAAATAAATAAAAATGCTGACTAAGAGCTCAGAGAACACTGTTTTTGAAGGAGTTGAAGATAACTAATGGATTTTTCATGTTTGTTTTTATTATTATTATTTTAATTTTTGCCAAATTAAGGTAAATAATTTAATAACTTGTGACACACAATTCCCTATTGGGTCTAATTTTTTGATATCTAAATGGTTAAAAGTAACTGAAAGTTGTTTCATTGCAACAACAAAAAAATGTACTGAAAAAACTAAACATAAAAAAGCTGTGTAAATATTGAGTCTAACTAGAACAAAAACCAAACAACAACTTTAAACTAGAGTTGCATTCCAGATAATGAACAAAAATCATTTTAATCTTTTCTTCAGGTCAATCAGCTAAAACTTTGAGAGGACAGTCTGTTTATTAAAATTAAAAGTTTTGATGTCCATATAATGTTGAATTCTAAAGGATTTGCTCGAGGTTCACAATAAAACTTCACATTCTCATTGCATGATCATGTCAGTGTAGATTTTTTGATTTCACAAATACATTTTGTGAAATTTCACAAATACAAGATAAAAAAAATGGTTTAATTATGAATGTCAAAATGTTTTTGTGTGTGTGTTTATAAAATTACATTTTTACAAACATTTGAGTACTAAATAACTGACCCACTGCACCATAAACACAGGGTTATTATTTGTTTTTATTTAGATTTTTTTATTTATTTTTATCATACTAGTTAAATGTTGAAAGAGTAAAAAGAAAAACATGAAATTTGATTGGCTCTTGAGTACATGAGACCTCCAGTATGAACGCCAGATTTTGTTCTTCGACTTCTTGTGAAGCCACCAGTAGGCAGCCGAGCAGTCTTAAGAGGTGCTGGATCATGTGTGTGCTGTTTTTATCTTGTTCTGCCCAGCCCCCACCTTGTGAAGCCCCTGAATACTGCCACGCATACTGAGGAGAAGCGGTCAGTGCTGGCCACCAGCCTGGAGAAGCTCAAGTCCACCATCCACCCTGGAAGGGGCAGCCAGATCACCGACCAGGAGACAGACAGGAGAAAGGTCTGCTTCAGTTTGTTCGTTTGATGAAGTACAAAGCTGTGATAGTTTGATTCATGCAGATTTGGAGCATTTAGAGGTGAAAATCATATGATACACAGGGTTTCCTCCAGGATTTATTTTAATTGTGGTGGTGGGCTGCCTGCAGGGGGTGGGGATGTTATTGTTGAACACGACACCGGTAATACGACTGTAGAGAGCAACAACATCATTTTAATTATTACCATTTCAAACTGAATGTTTTTGACAAACATTTATTCAATATCTTCACACTGTACAAGTGAAATGACAGCTTTAGTATCTAATAATAGCAGTTTGCAGCCTGGCTGAGGTCACTTTATCCTTCTAGGTTTCTTGAAAAAAGCTCTAACACCCTGTTGTATGGGAACTCAGACTGAGGGGCCCATTGATGCTGAGTAGCACACTGCTGCCAGGTGGTCCCCTTGCAGCCTGTTCCTCAGGTCTGTCTTCACCTACACATGAAAACAATTGAAAGTTTAGGAAATGAGAGAAACCAAACCATCTTTGCCTGACTTACTGTTTACTATTAACCAAGTGTCTCACCCTGTTCATTGTAGAGAAACCTCTCTCACAGTTTCCTGATGCATGCTCAATAATCCAGGTAGAAAAATCCAAAAAAGTTCAATCTGGTCCTCTGGACATTCAAAAAAAAAAAAAACAAAGCAAAAAAATCTAGAAACGTTTCGTCTCTCATCCAAGAGACTTCCTCAGTCTGAGGTGCTGTATTCAGCTCAGTCTCTTAAATAGCACCTTCTCAGAGTGGATCAACCAGTTTGCTGCTGACAACCAAAACCAGCTGCTCACATGCTCAAGAAGGACCATCAGCCTAACAATGGATCGTTAGCACACTGATGGCTGTTTACTATTCACAGAGGGCTGAGTGATACTAGCAATCACAGCATTGTAAGAGGGGGACAGTTGAACCCGGAGGCCTCCACCACTGTTTAATGATGGACGATTTATTTTCCCAAAGATGGCCTCCTTTACTCCTCTCTCAAACCATCGTTCCTCTCTGTCCAGGATGTGAACATCTTCATCCTTGAAAGAGTGACCGCTGGCCTGGAGATGAGTGTAGACCACAGAATCCTGGCCTGATGATGTTGATCTTCTGTGCTGGGCCATCCTTACAAGAACAGGCTATAAGAAGGGTTACAAGAAGAAGTTAATAGATTGCCTGAAAAATTTGGAGCAGGACAAGGCTATTGACCGTTTTCTGTACCACAGACTGTACCCAGGGGAGGCCACACCTAGTCTGTATGGTTTACCTAAAATCCACAAACAAGGTGTACCTTTAAGACATATTGTTAGCATGATTAACTCTGTCACTTACAATGTTTCCAAATATCTGGCGTCTGTACTCATCCCTTTAGTTGGCAGCTCAGAACACCACATACAGAACACCATTGACTTTGTGGATAAGGTGAGGGATGTCATCATGGAGACTGATGAAACAATGGTCTCTTTTGATGTCACATCATTCTTTACTTGCATTCCTGTTGATGATGCAGTAGAGTTGATCAGTTTAAGATTAAAATCAGACACCACTCTGAGCAGCAGGACCACGCTTTCCACAGAACAACTGTGTCAACTCTTGAAGCTGTGCCTACAGTCAACCTACTTCACATATGGGGAGCAATATTATAGGCAGTAACATGGGTGTGCTATGGGGTCTCCAGTTTCTCCTATTGTTGCCAACCTGTACATGGAGGAGGTACCATACCATACCATACCATACCAATTTATTTATAGAGCACTTAAAACAGCAACAAGGCCAACCAAAGTGCTGTACAAAAGAAAACAATCATGCACAGCGGACAGGAAAACATAAAATAGAAATACAGATACAAATAGCAGCAGAAGCTAACTAAAATGGCCAACAGTGTAGAGTATAGACCGGACCAAAACAAATCACAACATGGTAAAGGCAAGAGAATAGAAGTGGGTCTTCAAGCGAGACTTAAAGACTGAGAGTGTGGGAGCCTGCCGGACACTCAGTGGCAACTCATCCCACAGTCGTGGACCATAGGTAGAAAAGAGAGCCTTGACGTCCTTTTCAGGGACACCACCAAGTCATCGGTTCAGGTATGTTGACGACACCTGGGTTAAAATCAAATCTCAGGAAGTCCAACATTTTACTGACCACATCAACTCTGTGGATAAATACATCAAGTTCACACGAGAAGATGTAAAAAATGACAAGTTGGCTTTCTTGGACTGTGAGGTCGCAGTCTCTGATAGAGGACATTTGCAAACTGAGGTGTACCGCAAACCCACCCACACAGACCAGTATTTGCAGTTTGACTCCCATCACCCATTGGAGCACAAGTTAGGAGTCATCAGGACTCTGTATCACAGAGCAGACAGCATCCCCACTAACTTGGGAGCCAGGCAGAAGGAGAAATCCTACACAAGACAGGCTCTAGAGCAATGTGGATATCCTAAGTGGGCCTTCCTGAAAGCAGAGAAGAAACCCAAACTGGACTCCAGTCAGCCATCAGGTGAAAAGGAGGAACCCAGACCTAGACCAGTGGTCATTCCATATGTTGAGGGAGTATCAGAGAAACTGAGACGTTTATTTTCTAAACATAACGTCCCAGTGGCTTTTAAACCCCAAAATACATTACGGCAAAGACTGGTTCATCCCAAAGATCCAGTCCCCCGGCACAAACAGAGTAATATTGTGTATGCTGTTCAGTGTCAGGAGGGCTGTGATCAGTCTTACATCGGGCAAACTAAACAGCCACTGGCCAAAAGGATGGCCCAGCACAGAAGAACAACATCATCAGGCCAGGATTCTGCAGTCTACACTCATCTCCAGGCCAGCGGTCGTTCTTTTAGGGTTGAAGATGTTCACATCCTGGACAGAGAGGAACGATGGTTTGAGAGAGGAGTAAAGGAGGCCATCTTTGTGAAAAGAAATCGTCCATCATTAAACAGGGGTGGAGGCCTCTGGGTTCAACTATCCCCCTCTTACAATGCTGTGATTGCTAGTATCACTCAACCCTCTGTGAATAGTAAACAGCCATCAGTGTGCTAATGAGCCATTGTTAGGCTGATGATCCTTCTTGACTATGTGAGCAGCTGGTTTTGGTTGTCAGCAGCAAACTTGTTGATCCACTCTGAGAAAGTGCTATTTAAGAGACTGAGCTGAAAACAGCACCTCAGACTGAGGAAGTCTCTTTCATGAGAGACGAAACGTTTCTATATTTTTTGCTTTGTTTTTTTTTTTTTTTTTTTTTGAATATCCAGATGACCAGATTGAACTTTTTTGGACTCTCTCACAGTTGACAGATGATATGGGCACTGTTAATGCAATGGCTGTGAGCTGGCTCAAGCATGGGTAAAACTGTCCCCATTTGTCATTCTGGGATGCCAGTTTCACCATCATCATGTTGAGCAATTGTAATGCTTAATTCTCACCTTGATTGGTGTTGTACAGCCATGGGTGGAACTTGGTTATTCCAGTCCAGTTTGGGTTCCAGCCAGATTCTCTGTGCTTACTTTTTTCTTTCCTCTCTCTCCTTCCCTCTCTTCTGCCCCACCATACTCACTCTCTACTTCAGCCTGTGTGCTTGTCTAATATAATTGGGAACAGTTAAATCTGATTTTTTTTTCCTGATTAATTGATGAATCAGCCAAAAAAAAAAAAAAAAGTTTTAATTTCCACCTCTTTATTCCAAAATTAAACATTTGACTGACATAACAAATCACACAAAAAACAGGTTGCTACTTGACTATTCTGTAAGTAATCAGAATCAGACTCAGAATAAGCTTTATTATCATTGCACCAAGATACAACGAGAACATGTACCTGTACATGCAGTCGTCCGGAAGATGGACATAGTGCACGAAGCTGCTACTATAACTAAGCGCGGCCTCTCTTATCCTTATCAGAATAATAATCTTAGGAAACGGGGGAGAAACATGAGGGTAGATAGTGGTATTACAATAAAAGATCTTTCACATCTTGTCTATCAGGACACAATTTGAGACATCAAAAAAACTCTACCAGCAGCACAATTAAAACATGATTACATTTGCATTTGACGTCAGGGTGTTGAGATTAGTCCATGAGCGCTTTTCAGATCAGCCACAGTTTCTGAAGATGTTGTTTCAGCCAGCAGTTCTGATAAGCTTGCACAGAAAGTTCTCTGGCGGGCGACAGATGAAGCTTTTGTCCTTGGTTACTCATGACCCAGGAGAAATTTTATACTTTGCCCATTCCAAGGCTGTCGGAAGTCAGATTCAGATAAACTTGATTGTTGTTTTTCTTCAGGCAGACAGATTTATTTCTTCAGCCTTGAGTCCATCTGGACATTCTGGTTCCAAAATAGCCTAATTGTGGGATTCCCCTGATCCATGTTATGAGTCTCCCTCAAGGTTGAACCCACCACGCTGATGAGTCCCAGAAGCCGCAGGTGGCCTGCGATTCTCATAAATCGCCTCCTCCTTACAGTTTAGTTCATAAACCAGCTGATTTTGAGTACTCACAGCACGTATCAAACCTTCACACTGACTCTGAAGCTTTTCCAATGGCAGAAATTACTGCCGATGTTTCTTCAATAGTTGATAAAATAGAGCCCCACCGATGCTAAAAAGCAGAGTCCCTCCTATCATAATTCCAAATATGTAAATGTCTTCAACATCCTCCTGAGACAGGACTGAGAGGAACATCAGCTGCCACACTCCCCACGGGTCCATGACGTGCCCCACAGCGTGCGTCTCAGCTGGACACGCAGGTTCTCCAGGACCTTGTTGTTTAGTTTAAAAAATCTTGCCGAAAGTGTTTAACGTCCAGGATACCAGATCCATAATCTTAATTTACGTTTGGGAGATATGAACCAGGCGCTTCAGACACACACAGAGCGAAGCAGGAGGAAGGAAAAACGGGGGAGGAAACATAAAAGCAGCCACCTGGATCGAAAGCCAGGGAGGGGAAAAAAAATATGGAATTAATAAGAAATAAAAAGCTTGTCAAATAG